TATATATATATGCAGCCGACATGTATTCAGTACAAGTGACTTATTTGGCCAAAAGCCACATGAAGTATCTCTGCAGCCTTTGGTCACTGAGCGACAGTCATCATACAACTCATTTATGGACATATTTCTCTGTGTTTCAGCCTTTTATTTACAGAAATCAGTGTTTCATTATGCAGAGCTGTCAGGTGAGCGCCCCTTCAGGTGGGGGAATAGATAGTCATAGAATACAAATAAACAAGCCTTTTTCCGTTTCTGTCTTCAAGTAATTTTCTTTTTTGCTATCTGAAACAGAAAGTGAAACTCAAATCATTTTAACATTTTGTTTATCCCTTTTTGACACTAAGAATGATAATAGCTTTTTTATTTTAATTTCAGTATTTTAAAACAAAAATCAAATATCCACTCATTTCTTGTTTTTTAATACCCGTTTCAAAAACGAAAATCCAATGACCAAAAGATACACTGACCCAAATACAGCAGCAACATTTCTTTTTTGTTTATGCCTCAGTCCTTCCTTTGACCTTTCGTCTGGCTGTTGTGCGCATGCTCGAACCCTCTGTAGCATCCCGACAAGCCGCTTCCTTCACTTCCGGGAAACACAAGCTTCTATCCACCAAGATGGCTACGTTGACAATGAGCCGTGCGCCTCTCGGGGGTTTCAGTTTCGAAAACTGTAAGAGGTATGTAGTTGTGTTTTAAATACTCTCTACCAGAATATAAACTTTATTAAGCTGAATTTATGTCGCCACATGAGGTAAGCTGCTGTGTTTGTTAGACGTGTTTTAAAGCGGTTTTCTGTTGGTGCTAGCTCAGGACTCGCCGCTCATGCAATGACTCAGGCATTTCCACCGGCACTACATAGACGGAAACACTCATCTTATACCTTTAAACATAGTTCTGCTTTATTTTTCAAAACGTTGTATCTTGTTTATATTATATCACATTATGTCCACGTTAGTTTGATAAATTTGTTTTGTGTTCATCAACAAACCTGGACTCAGCCTCGCGTGCGCAACTCGCTGAGTGGTCACATGAATAAAGAGAATAAAATGTTTTAATGTTAAAATCTTGTATTTGCTGCTGAAACATTCATTTTTAAAAAGGGTTCGCGAGGATACTTATTTCCTGTCACTATATACGATTTTATTACAGCTCATTATTGTTTTAAAATGGTTACAAGATTTTAAAATGGTGACCACCGATTGTTTTAATATTCAATTTGCTACAATTAATAATCAAACGAATGTTTATGACTTTTGTTTCAGAAATGCCATTTTGGAAGGTGAAACGAGCAAACTGGGATTCAGCTTGCCTGCTGCTCGAAAAACGGGAACAACTATCTGTGGTGTTGTCTTCAAGGTGACTGAAAACAATTTTACAAATTTATTTAAGCTTGAAGAAACACAGAGCACAGTTCTCTGGGCTTGTGTGCATAAAGTAATTTATGTCTTAAGTACAAATGAATAAATATGTAATGGTTACCAAGTCAAGTAACCGAGTGTTTACTAAATATTTCCTGGTCCCACGTTAAGGATGGTGTTGTTCTTGGAGCCGACACACGAGCCACAGAGGGCATGATCGTGGCAGACAAGAACTGCTCTAAGATTCACTACATCTCCCCCAACATTTAGTAAGTGACAGCTCAGTTATGTTATTAACTGGAAGTCATAAGTGAGGCTTTCAGCCAGAGATGCTTTTTAGTAATACTTTGAAGTTTTTCTTTGTTTCAAGTTAAATCTGATGCAACAAAACATTGAGAAAATCTGGTTGCTTGAGCTTTGAGGGTTTTTTTATATAGTGGAGCTGAAAGTGTTGGATGTTGCTCTTCCTGACTGCTGTGTGATGTTGTTGTTGTCCAGCTGCTGTGGGGCAGGAACAGCTGCAGACACAGAGATGACCACTCAGATCATCTCCTCCAACCTGGAGCTGCACTCTCTGTCCACAGGCAGGCTGCCACGTGTGGCCACTGCCAACCGCATGTTAAAACAAATGCTCTTCAGGTACGCCTTCTCACTGTGTCTCTGTAACTCACACTCTCCCTCAGAGTTCACACACCGCTTCTCATTGCATTTAACTCTGAACATAATTATCTTTAAATGTGGCTACTTAAAGAATAACTTACACCAAAATTTACTTTTTTAGCTGATAAACTGCCTAGAATGCATCTAAAATGTTATATAGTACTGTTTCTGTGCTGATTTTGATGTTTTTGTGCGTATTTGTTCAAATCTGTAATATTTGGTCTAAAAACGTCTTTTTGCTGCTCATATGGGTAGAGCAGTGGTACTGCAGGCTAATTTGCATATCTGTTAACGGCTCTCTGCTGTGACGTGTCTTCTCCACGTTTCGTCACAGCAGCTGTGTTCTGGTATAAAAGCCTCTCTCTAAGACACGCCCCTGCAGCAGTCAGAGGGTGGAACAGTTAGCAAGCTTAGCATGATCGTCTGTTGACCTTCAGCCTTGGGTGAGGAGAGAAGCTGACTGCTGGAGCTTCTCTCTCTCTCTCTCTCCACACACACACACACACACACACACACACACACACACACACACACACACACACACA